CCTGAAAAAAGCTGGTCATTGCAAACTTTTTTTTTCTATAATTATTATGAATGACAAGTAAAGAAGATGAAGCTTGTCTTGGAATTGTATTGACATGAGGAACTGAACAGAATGCAGACTGTCTAACTTCAGAAAATGGAGACCTTCATTTGTCAATTTTGTACCAGATGTTTAGTCATCGAGAAGTATTGAATTTTAGTATTGATGACAAAAAACAGTTCTCCTTTGCAAGGTACACTTATGCAAACTTTTTAGGCCTTAATTAGCTTGAATTTTATGACACTAGTTATAATAAAACTTGGCTTGTTTTGAAGGGTTGTCGAGTGGGGAAAAGCACAACTGAAGCTTGCAAAGCTGCATCTCAATGAATCATAAAAACTTGTGGAATAATGAGACCAAATTAGGTATGTTTTGAAAGAACTTAAAGCATCCCGTTTAGAGAAAACCAAAACTTCAGTACAGATGGCATAAACCGTTGAGCATAGTGGTGGAGGGGTGATGATTTGGGCTCAGTTTGCAGCCACAGGATTTTGGCTATTGAGTGGAACATGAATGTATTGTAGAGTAAAATATGAGACGGCAGGCAAAGTTATGCCCAAACTGGGTCATCAACAGAATGTGGCTCCAAACACAACAGTAGATCTACGACAGAATGCCTTAAGAAAGAGAAGAAATGCAATGGCCTTGTGAAAGTCCGAACCTCAACCTTACTACGTATGTTGGTGGAGTCTTAAGATAGTGGAGCAGCAACAAATGTTGCCCAATTAACCAAAGTGATATGAAGGACATTGAGTTATAATTATGTATAACTGAATAAAAACTCACAATCGGAAATATTTAATGTTCCTGCTGTTAAAGATGGTTCTACAGGCTACATAATCCAGAGTGGGGGTGAAACAATTATGCAATTCTAATATTTTCTGAAATAATCTTAATAGTTAACCACCTTACTCAATCATCAAAATGATTGATAGAATAATTGACTTAATAATCTTTAGCTGCAAATCTAATCCAGAGTTGTGGTTCATGTCTCTGATTAAGACTTGAGTCTTTGTTTATTAAATATCCCCAATATAGAATATCCTATGTGGTTTGATGCGCTTCAGGTTAAACTTAAATCATTTTTGTAACCTGTCAAAGACTGGATGTCTCGCATGTCAAAATCCCCTGAATGTAGGATACGTAATCTTTTTATCAGGATTCTACAAGTGGAAGCAGATCTGAGTGGGATTAAACTTTATTGATTTGCTCCAGGTTTGTTTTTACTGTGTTCAAGAAGATGCAATGAACGTCTATATAAGCTGCAGCTTCACCTGGAGAAAGGTGCACAGCCGGAGCGAGCGATGTAGGAGGGTGCAGCGTCGTAAATTCTTTTGCTCTGCTTTCCCCTCCTCCATTTCTCCCGCCTTCGTCTCTTCCCCTTTCTTCAGCTCTTGCACAGGATCACATTAATATTCCTTTGAAGCCTGTTTCCACTGCAGCCAGATCTCCCTGTTCCTCTCTTCCACTCTCTCCTCTTTCCTCCCCTCCTTTTTTTTTTGTCTTGCTCCTTTCCTCCTCTCAATTTCAGTTTTATTTCTCAGCCATTGTTTTATGAAAGGGATTGCTTTTGCAGCAGGGGAGGGCAGTTTTATTACCTTCAGTTAGGAGTTCCCTCTTGTTGCACTTGTGCGTGCGAATACGTGCGTGCACACACACACTCAGAGGGGTGGTGGATACCGATGCATTTGACAGACCGTGTTGATTGGTTCAGAATGGTTGCTGCCTCTTGTAGGAGAGAGAAGCAGCTATTTTTAGATCAAGGGGTAGCTGGGAGAGAAAGACTGAGGAAGGCTCTGAGTGTGCGTGTTTGTAAGGAATACTGCAGTCTTGAAAGAAGTTTCCTCCTCGCATACAAACATATGCACACGCGTGGATTTATGCAGCTATGGCCCTCCACAGCAAAGGTGTACTCCATGTTTTTGCATCCCCGTTTACTCTTTTTTTTTCTGCTTGCTTACCTCCACCCTTTTCCAGCAGTCTCTCTGTCTCTCTTGTTTCATCCTCTCTTCCCGAGTTGACTTGGTGTGCAAATGTCAGCACTTTCCGATTTATTTGCCAGAGCCCAGAGCTACGTCCAGCTCCTTGTGTTTACCTCTCTCTGCACAAAGGTGCCCCATCAGCAGTGCCTTGTTTTTATCACCCTCCTGTTTGAACAAATTTTCCTTGCTCCCATCTTTATATTCTCTCGCATCTTTCCCTAAATCTCTCGTCCCCGTCCTGATTGCGTGCCTTACTGGACAGCATACTTCCATCTTGTACACCCTTCTTGCTTCACCTCCTCCCTTGCTCTGTCCCTTTTCCGCCTTCCTGTCGTTCATGGATCATAGCACTTCATTTGAGCAACATCATGACATTTTCAGTCTTGACTACTTCTAGCACATCAAGTTTTTTGGGATTAAATCCACATCACCAACGCCGTCACCCTCTAAATTGTCGGGTTTAGACTTTATTTTAGAACACGACCATGTCCACTAAAGTGTGACCCCCTTCAGATAACAGGACGTATCGTCTTCCTCTTCATCTTTCTTAACTGTCTCTCTGTCCTCTTTTCTTGTCTTTGTCTTCTTCGGCATCTCACCTTATTTGTCACTCTGTATGACTGTGATCACCATGATGACTCACACCTGCTCTGTAGTCAAGGGGCAGCTGTGGCTTTGTAAGGAATGCTTGGAGACAATAAAGGTGCATGGTAATGACAGGATTGGTGGATTGTATATTTCCTGTGGTGACGACATTTATGTGTATTAAAAAGCAAAACGTTTTTTAGTCAGTTGTGATTTTGGGAACTTGTAGTTATTTATGAAAGAAATTGAAACCAAGATTTTATCTGACGACTGTTGGTATGTTGTGATTTGTAATTGTAATTGTTAGGTATTTTCCTCGAACCTACAATAAAATAACCACAGACAACGTATATGAATTAAATATGGTCAGGCTTCTGCAGAAGGAGAAATCTCCAAATCAACAGCTCCTCCAAGCTGTTCAATAGAGAGTTCTTGATCTGCTTTCACGTGAGCTCCCTCTTTATTGTCAAAGACAAACAGTCACATGGCGCAGTCAGGATACAACAGAGGTCGTAAAACATTTAACACAAACAGACCAACAACTCAGTTCCAGGTGTGATATCTAATTTACAATCTGAGCCCAGTTCAGCTCTAGGTCAAACTGTCACCTAAGATAGGGTAGATAAACACCAGAGAAGAAGGTCTGAGAACCATAAAGTTTTACTATCTCGCATGAAGACAGTCGTAACCTCCAGGTCAGTTTATACTAAAATCACAATAATACTTTAGACTGAATATAAACTAAAGTAACAACAAAATGATAATATTAAAAAATCTAACAGTAATACAATGAAATAAATATACATATACATTTATTTTCTTATTCAATGTGACACCAAATGCCCTATTTGCAATTTTGAATTCCACAAAGATGTCTCAACATTAGATTAGAGTGCGCATTTTTTTAAATTAATTTAATTTAATTTTGTTTAGTGGACAACTTGTTTTCACTATTTTCTGTACTAAATATCTAAAGATAAATCTAATTGTGTCCCTCTTATTCCCTCATCACATTGTGTTTTGATTAGTTTGGGTGTTTAAGGTAGAAACTCTGTTTATAATGGTAACTTTTTGTTTTATACTTAAGTCAGAGGTGACATATCTACCCAATTGCAGTTCAGTAATATGACAAATGACAGCAAAGCTGTACAAGAAGATCTTGATAAGTACTCGATTGTTTTGCGTGGGCACCAGATTTCTGATTAATAGATGAACACACTGCTGAGCAAAAAGCCTTGAGTCACTCCTCATGTCTTTCCCTTTTACCTTCAAGGAGTCAAACTTCCTGTTCATTTTTAAAGTGGTCTTGAGCACAAGCGCAGTGATGTGTGCTTTCGTTCCATTGGGACGTGTTGTGGAAAAGTCCCTCAGGGGAAGGCCTCAGGGCAGACCAAGGATTTGCTGAACAGATTACAACTTCTGGCCGTCCGGGGAATGCCTCGGCGTTCCCATGGAGAGAGTTGGGAATTGTTCGAGGCCTGGGGTTTGATGGAAGGATGGATGCTTTTAAACAGTATTTGCTTACACTTTCTGAAGGTCTTTCCAATTTATTTTTTTCCCTTGACCTTGACTTATTCATTACTTCTTTTCAATGCAGTCCTTGTATCTCTGCTGAACTAATTAGGTTGTGAATCTGCTTGAAATGGACTTCAGTATAAATCCTCCCAGTAAAAAGCAAGCCAAACCAATTAACCATTAATGCATTTACCCATCACATAAATTTTGAAAAAATCAAATAGAAAGACCAATGTTTTTCTTGAGCCCGGTGTATTTGATTTACTCCTAATTCTTAAGACCCTCACTTGCATTAAGTCTGTCTGCTTATCCAGGTCTTTGCAATTAAAGTCATAAAGGCTCATGGTTTTGTTTTGTTTTTCTTTTGCTGTGATATGCCAAACATTTGATAAATAGCTCTTGATTTATCCTCTATTTTTGGTGAAAAATAAATTTGAAGTCTGTCAAAAAAAAAAATTTTCCATTCTTTTTCTTTTTTTCCAACCAAACAATAAAAATAAATTGCCAACGTGGCTTAGCTGTCTTGGGCTACATTAAGTCTTTATTGAAAAGTCCCTATCATTTTCACCAACAAAAATTATTTATAATTATTTAAACAGCACAATTTCATTCCAATTGAAATTGAAATATGTTTTCTTTTTTTTAATGGGTGAATATTTGCCAATAATATTATTTCCCATATTTCAATTGAATCACGTTGTTCTGTAGATGCTTTTGTTAGCCTGGATGAGGTTTTCTCACATCAAGAGTTGCTTAACATGAGAATAAGTCATTTCTCACCCATTAACATTGGCTAAACTTTGAAGCCCTTCCATGCATTGCACTAAACTGAATTTATGTCAAATAAACTTTCCCATTTTTCTGTGTCTTTCTTTCTAGTTAGTGACAGCTGTTTCCGGAACCTGGCAGAGGACCGCAGCGGCATCAACCTCAAAGATCTCGTCCACGACCCCTCCTTGTGAGCATTGACCTCATTTTTTTTTTTTTGACAATTCATCCCCAAGCTGAAAAGACAAAAAAACCTTCATGCACATAATTGTTTGATCCAGCTGAAAGGCCTCTTAAATCTGGGCTTTATTCTCACACAAAGATTCATGCTTGCATCTTTGTGTACACTTTTAAATACTGCAACTAATATATTAAAATGATCTCTTTTAATATATGCAAGGAAGAAACATGATCCTCGGTACCTTAATAGATGAAATATTTTCATCAACAAAAATATAATTTAACAGTTCTGTAACGCTTGTATGTTTAGTTTTTAACCTATATGTTAAGGGTTTTTTTTTATTGATTTGGTAAGATTAAATTAACATGTTCCTGAGAAATAGACCACAAACTGTTATGCTATATCTGTTCCAGATTTGTGGTTCATAGAAGCTGAATGCTCCATGTTTTGTTCTGGTTCTGTGGATGCAAAGTAAACTAGAACCAGAAGACCTGAGTGGCTTGGAAGGTTGATATGTTAACAACAGATCTTTAGTGTAATTATGTACTAAGACATCCAGTCATTTATAAACCAAGTGAAGTATTTTAAAGTCTATTGTCTGAGTTACGGGGAGCCAGTGTGAGGACTTTAGGATGTGCTCTGTTGTCCAGGTTTTAGTGAGAACATCACCTGGTGACATAGTAGAATAATTACAGGAAAGAGATTTGACAAAACAGCATTCAACCTTGTTTCATAACTGCTTACTATATTTGTGCATGTGTTCATGTACATGGTGACATTTCTCTACGGTGAAGTATTGAAATGCTAAGAGCTGAAAAAGTATATTTATTCTTCTACCCAAGCTGTCAGTTAAATTTTAGCATTTTTTTTTTCCTTCCTGAGAGATGAACCAAATGGGAAAATCAAAAATTGTTTTCTTAAAATTGACCATTGCTTGTTGCTTTTTCTGCCCTGCTCGTAATCCGACTTGCTGCTTTTGCTTACTTGCTGTGTGTTTGGTGCCACCCTTTGAATACGGGACTGCATTGTCCCTCCTGGTACACACAGTCACCACAGCCACAAAGATCGTGGCTCAGTGTTGGTACATGCAGAAACTCCTAGGGGACCCAAGTGGGTTCATGGATATAGATGACAAAATTTACGTCAATTTAGCAAACTGTGGAGAAAATAGAGTTGTGTAAATTAGGCCTTGCTAGAGCACACTGGTCTCTCTGGCCGTTTTTGTACTTAAAGCATTTATTTGTGTCCTGCACTAGTTACTGTATTTTAGAATGCCTTACTGTCTGACATTGAGCTGATGGTTTACATAAAATCTCTTGTTTGTTGCTGCTTACTCCATCATGACCACCTTGAACACTGTTTGTTCAATGTGTCACAGCTGCCAGAAATAATCAAACATTTGGTGGGGGGGTAACCAAAAGGCATGAGAACAAAATGAGGAAGTGAAGGAATGGAAGGTGAGATTTAGTGAGGCACCACAGTAGGACATTTAAACTATAATCACAGCATCTCTCAGGTAGGCTTTGGCATATGGAATCAGGCGGTCTGGTTTCACTTTTGGGAGCTTCTAGAGGTGTACCGGAGGGTGAGTGGTGGCAAATGAAGTGAAGCAAAGGCTAGACCTCTCAGCAGAGGGGAGATCAACAAATAACACAGAGACTCAAGGACATGGAGGTGAGGAAGCGGTGGATGCGTATGCATCTGGGTGTCCCTATGTATGTAACTGTTTTCTTCACATATTTGGATCTGTGTGAATATTTTTTAATGCTTGCGAGTCAACAGTTTGTCAGCACCTTCACTGACTTGCAAAGATCTTCTTCAGCGCTGCAAACTGCCAGGACTAAAAATAACCAGAAGAAAAATCAGATGTGTGACACAAGACCTAATTTCACTGTCTGATCAGGGACAAAGACAAACCTGAAGGCTTCCAGGACACAGGGACAGACCTGTGGTGAAGACTGTTTAAATGAGGACAAAGTGAAAAATTCCTGCACCAGATCTGTCAGCTTCTTTGCTGAACACTTGTTGCTCTATGATTTTTAGTATATTTATTATAAACCCCTCAATATCTGTACATCTGCTCATTAATTTATAATTTTAATACGATGATAACAGGATTGTGTTGTATATTTTGCAGCATTTGAGCAATTAGCAAAAGTTGAGCACCTCATTGTTCGCTGTAGTTAGATGAGTGTATTTTCTAACCATCAGCGTCATGTTAATTAGATTTTTTAAATTAAATTTAGAACAAAAATATGTTTATAAAAAAAAACTAAATGGTAATTTGGCATCCCTGGTGAAGATTTTTCAAAAATTGTAAATGATTTTTTATAGCAAAACCTCAGTGAACATTTCAGAAAAATCCCTTAGTGCTAAATTGATTTTTTTTTTAACCCAATCACCATTGGTACTGTTACTGGAAAACCTCCTGTTAATACTTGTAATTGTCTTTAAATAAAAAAAACACATGTTCTGGCTTCTTCTCTGTCTATTTAAGATGAACATTTGTCTTTTCTGTTTGACAAATGTTCTGTGGGAAATTGACATATTTAGCTCGTGTTTATCAGGATTTGCTCCAAAAATATCCAAGGGAAGAACTGCAGAGCCTAAATGAATCCATTATGACCTGTCGATTTTACCGCAGATGTTTGCATTTAGGTGTAGCTGCTATGGTTTCAAAAAAGAAATTAAAATTGAAAGCCAGAATCTGTCAGAAATGATGCAGCTGAAGCACGGTGACATTTATTCCATAAATAACCCTCGCAGGGTGGAGTGTTTCTGCACACTTTTTAATATTGTTTGTTTCTCTGGGGTTGTGTGCACATCATGCGTGTGAGTGGAACGCCGTGGTGGCCACTCTCAGCTCTCAACACAGTGGGGGTTTAAAGGAGTGAGCTCATCCTTTTCCTCCACCTTTCCCACTATCAGCAAACATGTTGAGAGGTCACCCCTTGAGAGCTTTCCTACATATGGATGAACCAACAACTTACCTCTAATGGGCTCAACTCTATGTTACTACTGGGAGTGTGGAGATGACCGAGGAGGCTTTTGTCTCCCCCCTGGATGTAGTGTGTGTATGTGCGTGTGTGTGTATGGATGCAAGAAAAATACAGAGAGTGAGATTGAGTGCTTTCTACAAAGAGCGTGTATTATTAATGAAATCACCCTGGCAGATGGGTTTCTTCTTGGAAGTGTCCCACAACCACTGAGATTTGCAGCAGACCTTTGTGCACGCACACACATCCACACACGCGCATACTTCCAAATTCTCCCTCTCTTGTAAAGTGTGTCCCTTTTTTGCACTCTTTTCACTTTGTGCCTCTCTTTGTTATTCAAGCTTCCCATCTTCATCCGTCTTTCTGTGCTCGTCTTTTATTCATTGTAAGATTTGGCCGAGATGTCCAAGCTTTCAGGCCAATACTACTAACCCATCCACCCCCGTTTTCCTCTCTGTCTGCCCTCTCTTCTGGCGTCTCTTCTTTTTTTTCCAGCTGCATTAGGATCTGTCCACACCGAAGGCAAAAAGCTATCTTCAGCGCTGACCACCTACATATTACTATTAGCATATGTAAAAAATATCTGACTTTGAAAATAAACTGTTAAAATATTTCTCAGTATTTTGACATTTGCGTATAGAAATAAAGTTTGTGATGATGCCTGAAATAAAGATGGGAAGTTTAGGTTTTTTAGTTTTAAATACCGTTTGGGAGAAGTTATGTTTTTAAATATATGGTTTCCATTGTATTCCCTTAAAATAAACATCTGTAATCTGTGTGTTTTTGCATTTAAATATAATTATTTTTTTTATCTCATTATTAAAATTGTTGTCTATGTTTATCATTAGCATTGCTATTATTCACCTGAGCATCATTTAAGTTGGTAGTTCACTTTCCATTGCACTGTAATTTGGCCATCTGTGCAGTTTGGAAAAACATTAGCAATGCTTGCATATGTGAATCAAAATGTCTGACTGCTACTGTTTTGTCTCTTAATATACACATTATTGTTACACAAATTTGTAAATTGCTTACTTGTTCATCATAAACGTAAAACAATGCGCCTGAAGATCTTAAACACATCATAGCACAGAAATGGGATCCCTGTTAATTATTAAAAAAGGCACAGAGGAGCTCTCACATGCTCCCAAGCATTATACAACGCAGCATCCAGAGTCTCCAGACAGAAAGAGCTGCCAAGGAAACACTGGGAAGGAACTCCAGTTATTTGTGAAGAGCGTATTTTCATTTGGGCTGAAACGGAGAGGCATGAAAAACCCCTGGAGCACACAAGAGGTGATTTGTCCTGACAGCTCCTTTACTCTGGCGAGGTCTAACTCAGACACACGCAAACACATAAACCAAGGAACGAGCGTGCGTGCACAAACGCATACAAATACGCATTAATCCATACAGAGCTGCCAAAAGCCGCTCCCTTCCCATCAAAGCACACCAAGTGTGGGTAAATCACCCATGCCATCATGTCAGGTGGGACAACCTGTGTTTGTGAATAACCTCCTTCACCCTAAAGATGCATTTTTTTTAAGTAATTGCTCTTTTGTCAAAGATCCATTTTTGACTTTTGCACATCATCGGTCAACCTGTTGGAGTTCAACATTTTGACTTTATGTATGCTTTCCGAAAAAAATTGTCAACTAAATATTCTAAAAGTATTCCAAAAGGTTTTAAGATAGAGAATTAGCGACAATTAACTGGTACAGTGTGTTGGCTGCAGGAGGGTAACATGACATTTAAGTGTCATGGAAAGGAAACATGATGCACTGCAATCACAAAAATAGATCTCTGAAGAAAAAAAAAGAAAAAGAAAATTGTTACATAAGGATTTTCTGCAGATTCTTCACCTTCAGTCTGGGTATTTTTTTGTGTAATACTGTGTCTGACCACAGGAGGGCGCCATAGTCCGACGTTCACTTTTCAGCTTCCTCTCTCTGGGCCATCCTGGGGAAAATCCTGTCATAAAGAGTTTTCAAGGGCATTTCCCCCCTTGTTTAGTTGCAGTGTTTCTTGTTACTTTCACATTTGACATTGTTTATGAGTCTATATAAATATATCAGATTAATGACCCCATCTCTGTAAGTGAAGTATCATGACACCAAACAGATTGTCAGTTAAATACCTAATCACTTTATCACCTTGGGTGTTATGTAACATGCGTGTCACAATGAGAACTGTGCTGGGTTTATAATGATAAAATAACTTTCTTTTTGTGCCATGTATGTTTTCTCAGACATTGTGTTCTTCCTTGTCTTTAAGGTTGGGAGGCATGATCGTGGCCTACAAGATAGTGCCAGATGAGATCGATGAAATCAAGGTAAACATAACTGGTCTGCTCCTCTCATTGTATTGTAGTGATGTGTATATCTGCACATGAGATTTTCATAAATGTGCATTTCGTGCATGTTTGCCTGCAGGAAACGCTGGTGGATTGGTGTGATGAGAAAGAACTCAACCTCATCCTCACCACCGGGGGCACTGGCTTCGCCCCGAGAGACGTAACACCAGAGGTGAGCTTACATATTAAATGTTCCCTGAGAATTTACTGTCAATCAAAAAGATCTTTTGATCAAATAATTTCCTAACATTTCTTGTTATATAAATCTTTATCAAGTTTTTGTTTTCAGATCTCCTGCTTTACTTTATGTTCTTTTACTCATTCTGACATTTCAAAACAAAAATGCACAATGTGGGTTTAATCTCAAAGCTCTACATAAGGGACAGTCATGAAACATTAAAAAATATGAGTACAATGCCAAAGCAGATTATCCCATAATAACAACACAGAAACTTAATACGTTTTTGGTGATTGCATTTTTTTTAAATGGATTATTTATATTCAAAATCAAAAGTGAACCATAAATGCACAGATTACAGGAGGCCAAAATTAACTTTCTAGTCCACATTCAACACTCTTCATGTCAGGAGTCACTTCATGTCATCACTATGAACACACCAACCAGATAGTAAGACATGATGGAGGCAGTGTCATGCTGCTGCGATGTTTTTCTTCATTAGCTAAAGGGGAACCAGGCAGATCTGATAGGGAAAATGGATAAAAATAAATATAGATAATGCCATAATAATAATAATAATACATTTCCTGATAGAAAATGTATTGGATGCTGCAAAACTTTTACAATAACATTAACACTAAGCTCACGGGAAAAGTTAACTTTATGTTGCAATAATTGCAAAGAAAAGGGGTTTCACAAATATGTCTCAAAAAGCTTGACCACAGATGCACATCACACTTTTTGAAAGCCATATAGTCTATTTCATTCATTTGACAAAAAACCCAATAAAACACACATGTTTGTGGTTCAAAAGTCACAACATATGAGACCTTGTAGGGAATATACACACTTTTGCAAGACGTCTTGCTTATGAGACAGTTCTGCAAACTACAGGTGTGATGATCTCTAATGTAGGTAGTAGACGAGCTTTTTTATGTTTGAATGTGTGTTGAGAGGCACATGTCTCCTGCTGCTTCATTTGCTTCATTAGCAGCTTGCTTTTGCTGATCACACGCATGTGTTACAACACTGATTACCACTAATTAGTCCTGTAGTCAGAGGGGAAATAAAGGAGTAGAAGTGTTTCCTTTATCAAGAGCTTTTTCTGTAAGAGGAATGATAGTTTAAAGACAAAACTTAATTTTATATTATTATTATTTTAATCAGTTTTTGATATTTTAAAAAGTTCCCTCACTTTCAGAAAATAATTGATATTGTGTATGCTGTGATTACTAATGTTTTCCAGAATAAATTAAATGAAGGGTAGTAACACAATACATCTAATCGGGTATTATTTTGCTGTATAATATTGTTGTGTTACCTCATTATGTAAAAATGAAAATTTACTGTTGCCTATTATGAATTTTGTGGATTATAGAGACACTCCTCTTGACCACTTGTCCTTAATGGTTGGCTGGTCACCACATTTCTATTTTGTCTCCATTTGGAATTTGATGGTATGTTTCGTTTTGATTAGTTTCACTGATGTTATTCTGGTTTGCATTTACATTTGATATATTTCTTGTTTTTACTGTGCATATGTAAACAAAAGCACATGTAGGCATAGACATGTATGTAAAGTGCTGTGTGTCTCTAATAAGAAAGCTTTCTTGCAATAAATTGTTTTTTCCCCAAACACAAGATGGATAAAATGTTATTAAACCTCAGTGGAAAACAGGTTTAGACCAGTCATTTTATTATTTAATAAATAAATGATTTCTTTTTGTGTAAATTAACTCTGTTGTTCAACATATATGTCCAAATACACTACAAAGTGCTTTTTTTGTGGACAGAAAATCATAAAGTCACATTATATTTATGAATTGCAATCTCTCCATGCTTTTGTCCAAATTGTCTGGTTCTGCTGTTGAATATGGCATGTTATGTGTTTTATTGCATCCATTACCAAATTACCCAGTCTACGTTTCGGCTGTCTTAAAGCTGAAAAGAAAGCCTTAACCATCTCTTCCACATCTACATTTATCTACATTAGCAGTCGATATTGATTTGGTCTCTTAAATCACTGGGGAAATATCTTCTCTTACCATTAAACCCATGCAATTAAACCTTTGGATGTTAAACTCCTCTCCTTTTGAAAGTTGATCTATTTTTTGTGGAAGCAAGCTTCCTCATCTTGGGGACGGTTGTTTGTTTTTCTAATTTCAAAGTACTACCAAATAATATTACTCTTGTCTTCAGACCAGCTAATGTATAGTTAATTAAATTTAAAAAAGGAAAATAAAACCCCATCTTGCTTTCATCGACATTAAATTGCTGATTATGAAAAAGGTAATTTCTCTGCGATAAAGGGTATCACTGTGCGCCTTTCTTAAAATCTAATTTTCTAATATTTCATAACCTCATAGTCTGGTTCCAACTAATTTCCATGTTGATAGATTCTCGGCACCCTTTTCAAGCATAATGAAAAAATCTAATTCATTATCTCACTAAGCAGAGGAACAAGTTTCCAAAACGTAAAAGAATAAAATAAGTTAAAACTAGAATTTACTTCAAAACAAATCCGTCCCATCCCATCTTCTGGCCTCCTGTTTCCTTTCTTCTCCCTTCTTTATGTCCCTTTTCACAAGATGCCTATAAGGGACTCCTGTAATTTTAAATATTTTCTCTGCATTTCTGTTGAGTTTCAAGAATCACTTCACTCAAGGTCATCCAACATAGTTTTTAAGAGACTTCATCTTTCCTGCTGCTAATCATTCAGTGTCAAATACAGTAACCAAATTACTTAAAGAAATACATTATTTTGGATTCTTTAAGATTCTCAGTTTAGTTCAGGCCTTCTTCTTGAATGAGTTCAGACGCTGCTATGGTCCAACAGTAATCTACAAGATTCATCTGATCACTTTTTTGAGTAACAAGTAATCTAACGCATTGCTATTTCAAATCCAGTTGTCAATCTACAGTTACTTATTGAAATCACTTTGCGTTAATGTGTGTTGCAGTTTTCTTTTGTAATTTAATTTTATTTCCTCTACGCATCTTGGGGAGTGACCACCGTTTCTTTGCGACAGTATCAGCAGCGATGGAAACAAACAACGGAGGAAAAAGGGAGATGCACATTTTGTTGCTGGAAAAACTGGGACTATTTTTAGTTTCTGTCGCCAAGTCCGATTATTATAAGCAGCTTTGGGCTTGTTTTTTTTTTAAAGTCGCTTGCAGATTTAATGAGTCGTGGGTTGCGGTTTTTGGCCTTGCAAATAACCAGACATAAAACCCAGAATTTGTCTGACAACCAGTTAGTTTTAGTCAGGCTCTATCCTGTCCATCATTTCCCAGATGATCCATCCCGCTGTGTCTTTGTTAATGTCAAGATAAGATATTACCTCTGAATTATGTCGAGCTTCACTTTGCGCTCCAGAAAACTGCAAAAATCGAGATTAATATTAGCAGCACAATAAACGTGAAAACACCCACGAATGTACGTGTCCGTAAAGTTGTGCAATTAAACAGCATACTTTGTCAACAGAGGTCGTTTGTCATTTGAGTCTTGACATTTTATCATGACTATATAGTCCAGCAAACCAAACTCAAAAAGTGCATCTTATATGCACTTTTTTTGTGCAATTTCTGTGTTTATGGATAGATCAGCCATAAAGTGTCAAACTATTTTTGCCAAATTATAGTTTGCATTTTAAATAAATCTGAACAAGAAATATAAATAAGAAACTGTATTTCTCAGTTGGATGACACCAAAAAAAAATTGTTTTAATAGTTTTAATTTCTTTGACTTCATTCAAACTTTTGGAGAACAGAATATTTTTAGACTGATAGCAGAACTTGCATAATTATCTAGGCTACAATCACACTTGGTTCTGTGGTTCTCCGTGTGTGTGTTTCTTTCCAGGCCACTAAGGAAGTGATAGAGCGGGAGGCTCCTGGGATGTCTCTGGCAATGCTGATGGGATCCCTCAATGTCACACCATTAGGCATGCTTTCCAGGTCCGACAAACACAACAACACAAATGTAGCTTTTAAAGACAAATCCGAAATAGTGACATCAGTCACTGCTTTTCTCCTTCTTGGTGACATTTGAAAATGATATTGCAGCATTAGGATGTTGAAATTGATTACAATAATACAATATTGATGTGCAATTTTTTTCCACATTGACTGAAAATGCAGTTCTGAATCACGTTGTCTCACAATGGTTGTGTGTTCACAGACCTGTTTGCGGTATCCGAGGCAAGACGCTCATCATCAACTTACCAGGAAGTAAGAAAGGCTCCCAGGTAAGAAATGTTAAATATTGTCTGTTGTTTAGATGACACATGTGATTATCCACCAGTTTCAGCATGCATAATTCTCCCCACACCTAAAGTAGACAAATAACAAGTGTTTTATAGTCTGAGCACAAAACTCATAACAAATGTATTATAAGAATGAAAGTTCATTTGTTAAGCTGTGACCTGTTTGTATAGACATTGTTTTTTAATCCGAGCTACATTAATTAATTCATATCTCGATATGCATAAACTGTATATGTGTAAATTTAATTATTTCTGACTTAATGTGAAGTTCTGTTTGCATTTGCCAGAATTTTTTCAATTAATAGATACATTAAATATATTTTCCTTGGGGTTTTTGTTGCTTTGCCTTCTGTCAAAATGATTATCCAAACCATGTGCGTCCACAAGTGTCTCCTCTCTCGCTCCTTTGTTCTCCCTCCTTGCGTTGGTGTCCAACACATCCATCTCTGTCTTGTTACACGGTGGTTTTACTTGATCAGTTTTATTTTCCATTCCATCAGTTACACCCCATTCCTCCCCCATCTGCTGCCATATTAGTGTCTCCCTCGTCAAACCCCAGGTAAACTTAAAGGCCCTGGCAGCTCATTGGCGACTTTTATTATGCTGATCTCTTCTCATAAGGATAACAAGAAAGTCCACTTGAGTTAGGCAGATGAAGCCTATCAATGTCAAACTGTTTATTGTGAATTTTTAGCTTGCAGAAGTCAGAAACAACACAGATTGTGTGAATATTTTAGTAGCTTGGATTTGTGGAACATATCTTATTAAATGAGTATAAACTAGAATAATTTTAACATTGGTTTGGAAAATAATGCGGCAGTAATATAGTTTTTCCATAAAGGTAATAATTTTGAAAAGGAAAACATTGACATGGATTAATACAGTTTCTCCTCTGGTCAATAAATTCAAAGATTAAATGAGTAAAGGATGAAAAATATCTGACTGTCATGCAGGAATAAAATCCAATGATTAGAACTTGTCTTACAAATGTTTGGAAAATATATATCTCTGTTCAAACAAAAAGGACTGAGATACACTGCAATATCTCTTTCAAGTAATAAGGTGGCAATAACATCAAAATCAGGCAGACATTGATGTATTAAAAAAGAAATATCCTCTTACTTGGATTCCTCACAAGTGTTGATTGTGTTCATTTTCAGGACAAAATAGAAACAGTCTGATTTGTGCTAAAAGAGAATTGTAAAAAGATGCCATTGCTAATTCTAGTGTGGAAACTTTTTTCAAGTGTTAGAAATGCCTCAATTGTTCCAGCTGTTATGGATGCAATGTTTGCTTTATATCTGCTCCAGATCACATTCCACTTATTACAACTAGATGCAAATATGATCAGCGGTACCACAGATTTCCTTTTTTCTTTTTCTTTTTTTTTTTTGCAAGTTCACATGATCCCTCTTAGCTACAAACACAGCAGGTGCAGAAGTGATCAACCAGATTGGAAAAGAACAAAATGAAAGAAAAAACACTCATAAATGTAATAAAATCCGTATTAGGATCGCTTCACAAATTATGATTTTTTATTTTTTTTACTTAAATTGTGGTTATGCAGATTTTAAAAGTCGACAGATTTTTAACGCAGACTCCTCTGGTCTGTGTGAATGTGATGTCATTTGCTCTGGCTGTACTTTACATAAATATGCCTTATAATTACCAAATATTGTTCCCCTAAATTCATGGATGGTGCCACAATATGTAACAACTGCATCACAGCAAAGATACTCTAGTGTGGAGCATTTTGGTGGAGTGAATGAAGATGCAGTTCTCTGCCTTTGGGTGTAGTTTATGAATCAGAAAAAAATACAAACACTGGTTCGGAAACATGTAGCGTTATGAATGTGCACATTACTCTAACACTGCTCTGCATAATAACTAACATTTTATAAATGTATCACCAGTTCAGAGCAGATGACTTTGTAACCTCCCCAAATGTTTCTCCTTTAACCTTGTAGATTTTGAAACGCAATTCAGTCAGATTATTACCTGATTAGGTATGCAACTTATTGTTTGTTTCAATTTAATAAATATTTTTCAACCATTTCTCTCTCTATAGATATATAACCATCTCTCCCTTGCTCTTCAGATCTTCCTACTCTCCCCCATGACCCACTCTGACAACAACACTACTCCTTTTTCTCTTGCACGTTTGTCCATTGGCAGTGTAGCCTGTGACTATGCTCTTTATTGTTCCTGACACTTACTCTCCTTTAGGACAAAGCGGTGAAGAAAAATAAAAATAAACACTCTTGATGTACCTTGAAAATGTTCCTAGGACTCAGTGAAAACTCAAATTCGGAGAGAAGAAATATCTCCAGGCTCTCAATATCATCTTTTCTCAACTCACCACCTAGATCTCCAGATCCAGATTAGGCTTTAAACACATTATGATTAGCCATTAGCAGTCTTCAAGGATGTTGTTGCTCTTCTTTGTGTTTGAACATTTTTGTATGTCTATTTGGGTTTCTACAGCTTCTGGAAACAGTCTAAATGCTTAAAAAAGGCACCCAGCCATTTTTGGCAACAAGTTAATATTCTTTGGTGTCTGGAAAAATGAACAGTTTTAAAAATCTTGCGAACGTAATGGCACTGCCTCTCACCTATTAACCCCAGCGGAGCCTACCCCATCACTTAGCAACCCAATGGCGTTTTGTTGTTGACTTACCTTCCAGAAACCACTTGCTGCATTCTTGTTGGTTGTGCAGGAGGCTCCAATTCTGCTTGTCAAAGTTGTACAGCTGTATATTTCCACATTTGTTTCCAGTCAGTTAACTCAACAGGAGTTGATGGGCGTGGCCAGTGGCATTTTATTTGGATTGAAAGTGACAGGAGGCCCTAAAACAGTTCACTCTGAAAGGAGCTTGAAATAGGCAGAATTGAACAAACTAAAATCTGATCAACTAAGATTTTCGCAAAATATGTAATGAACATGTTTGGTGTTGCTTATAGGCCTATCCTATAACCATTCAAAAAAGCACAATGGGTAAACCTTAATACAAAGAAATGTGTGCAAAGGTTTCCTAGCAGACATTACACTACATTATTACTGAGATAAACCGTTTTGTTTTTGTTTTTTGTTACACTTTGTTGTCCAATAGTCTGCCTTAAACATGCAGACAGGAGGAAAATGCTGTTCCACTCATGCATCAATGTCAGTGTGGGTATGTGGAATTTCCTCAAATCAAGGTTAATCCTGCCAGATTCGGTCCATTTTAGATAACAACAGATTGTGGAGTGGAAAGCTTGCAACGAAAGCCCGTTGGCAGCCAGTGTAAAGTGTGTGATGGATAAATAATGTATCCACTCAATGCTTAAAATACACAGAGCAATAAATAATTTCACAGATTAGCTCTTGTCTTGAGAGTGAGGAGAATAGAGCGTTTAGCACTGCCGAGAAGCCCACAGGCACACTGACACAGAGAGGAAAACAGAGCTGGAAAGACATGGAAAAGAGAAGCACTTTAGAGATTTGGCCTCTAGTCGGCACTGTGACGAGCTGGGGTTTCACAGAAAAGCAAACAGCAATCTCCCTGTAAATTCCCACACTGCCTGTCATCTCTCTCCTCAGATTTACATTGATACAAGTATGATTTTTATGGCATGAAATGTAATTCTTTATCTGTCTTGGATTTGTATTTTAGTTTTATACAGAGGAAGTGTTCTGGCAGCTCAACAATATGACACATAGCACTATTTCTGTTCAAAGCCAGTTTTCAGGGAATATTTTTTATCATTAGAAAGAAAGATACTACATATTCAAATAGTTGTTGGGTTTGAAATGTATGCAAAAAAATGTCTGAACTTTCATTATGTTTCTACTGTTGTTATTTTCAAGAAGAGCTACAAACAAGTGTGTTTAATATCAATCCGCCGCAGGAATGCTTTCAGTTCATCCTCCCAGCGCTGCCGCACGCCATCGACCTCCTTCGGGACGCGGTGGTGAAGGTAAAAGAGGTGGTAGACGAGCTGGAGGACTTGCCTTCGCCACCGCCACCCCTTTCACCGCCTCCCAACAGTTCGCCGCGCCGCCAGACAGAAGACAAAGGTGTGCAGTGCGAGGAGGAGGATGAGGAGAAGAAGGACAGCGGGGTGGCATCCACTGAGGACAGCTCCTCCTCCCACATCACTTCTGCATCCATCACTGCCAAGGTACCGGGACAGATGAGAAGGGAGGATTGTTCACTTTATTTCGTTGTCGTGAAGCTTGATTGCATCCAGTTTAAGCAATTGTTTTCGACATCTTCGCACATCATTCATGCAAAGCATCGTGTTAAAAGTCCCTGGTGTGTCACTATACATCACTCATTGCCAATTAATGTAAACCATGTAAAAGACTACTTCTACATGAATTTGTGTGCGTACAGCTTTTTTATCTGTATCAAGTGCATTATGTCATCATGTCATTTCCTAATCCTGAGTTGTATAACTTCCTGTTGGACAGTAAACTCTATGCCAGAATGGATTAGCATCCCGGTGCTTTGGTTTAACCTTACATAAGATACACCTGACGGCTGAAGTCTGCAAATTTTCCACACAACTCCATTCTGAGAGAGCATGTCTCCATTCCCATCCTCCTGTCCTGTCCTGTCTGCAGCATGGACTCTTCTTAATGGCTGTGTTGTCAGGGTAACATCCCACCTCATTGTCCAGTCACAGATGCATTTTGGTAAGACTTCACCATGCAAAAATCTCACCCATTGTTAACAACACTTTTCATCAATATGTCCTAAGTGTGAGAAGATTGTGTTTTCATCTTCATCAGCACAGACTGACAGTTTCCTCTTAGAAATACTAAAGAATTGTGGCTCGTTTACGCGTCTATGCCCAAATTTAGGGATTATATGTGCAGCTATGAGATAAAATTAGTTTTTTTTTCTGAAAAAATGTTCACATATTGATTCCTAATCTTATTATTGTATCTTTCTTTTAACTTGAACAATAAAATGTGCTTTACTAAGTAAGCACGTCAACATAAATTTGTTTTTCTGAGGATTAAGTTGGGACACCCTCTTAATCTCGCTGTTAATGAATTACATTTTGGGGAGACTTACTTACAGTCCTTAAAATAACTTCTGTAAGCATGTTATGATTGATAAATGCTAAGGGAGTTTTATTTGGAACTATGCGCTATAGTCATATAAAATCAACACAAAAGTTGTGGCACCAAAGTTAGTCTGTGTAAGAGATTACATAGCCTTTGTGTTGTGTTTAGATGACTGTGTCTGCATATATGTTTGATCTCAGATCCCAGACTCCATCATCTCGCGGGGTGTGCAGGTGTTACCCAGGGACGCAGCCTCCCTTAGTACCACGCCCTCCGAGTCGCCTCGCGCCCAGGCAACCTCCCGCCTCTCTACTGCTTCCTGTCCCACACCCAAAGTGAGTGGACACTCTGACACAAACAAGCACACTAACCTCAAATATACACACGTCACTATCAGGTGTGTGTTCATCGGAACATCAAAGATTGATTTCTTCTGTTAAGTTCTGACATCTTATATTTTTTTAAATTTACTTTCTTTTACTTGTCTTCTTTCTCTATTTTTACCATGAGCTTCCCTTTCAACATTTGCTTTTTTCAACAGGCCATTGTTTGATTCAGATCATTTTTGCAATATTTATTTCATTGGGTAATAGTCAATTAATTTTTGTTTTTATGGAATGTACATCCTCTTAGATGCTTTACTTGCTTTGAGTTGTCCTGGGAATCAGTTAAATGCAGGCTAACTGTCACAATTTCTTCACATTGCAAAGGTGAGAACAGGAGAACTGTAATAGTAAATGACAAACTTGTAAATCTGTGGCATTTTGGCTTCCTATTCTCAGATCGGAGAATCTGATACATTGTGAATCAGCACAATAAATGCATCATACTTTAAAATAATATTTCAATGGCACTTTATATTAATTTCAATGAAAATGTTTTGCTTCACTACACAAATATTCAAAACAATTCCTGAAATTTTCAGTTTTCTATTTCTTCCCATCTTCACATTAGACCAAATTTAGATTTAGTAGCAGTAAAGTGAATTTTAAAAAAAAGTTTGTTCCAATAACATTTAGTAAACCCTTGACAATTCCTAATTTCTAAAAAGTGTTGCTGTTTTTTTTTCTCATCCTGCTTTTCTTTTTCTTTTTTTTTAGATGATTGGGGTTTCTAAGAGCTTTTAATTTGAAATCCATGACTTCCTGTCTCCAAAATTTAGCCATTGTTTGTACATTGTAATATAGCATTGTGAATGAGCTCAGTGGTTTCACGTCTTTTACTTTTCTATTTAACCCGTCAGTCCTTTACAAAGTACCGGTCAGCCCTTGTGACACAAATTTCATTGGCTGTCACATCACTCCACTGGTTTTGGCAAAACGTCAGTCTTTGATGTGCTGAGATGGCAGTATTTTCCAAAAATAAATTGTCAAACTTTTCTTTTAACTCCAGCCAGAAATGAAGAGTCTCAGTCATAACAGCCTCTGAGCTTGCACATCAACACAAACTTTTTCCAGCTTAAAAAAACCTTTACTGGTTTAAGTCTAAGCCAAAATAAAACTGTTTTCTAAAATTCAGTTAGTTCTTAACTTAGTTTGAAGCCAAGCATTTGCATTGATATCTACCTTAAGTAAGAAGCCATTTCTCAAATGGAATAACAGTGATGGTAAAAAAAAAAAAAAAATCCCTTCTTTTTGTTTACTGCTCAGATTTGTTTATCATGTTATTTATTACCATTTTTTTTCTAATGCTGGCTTTTGTTATTCTTTAACTTTTTCACTGGATCAGGATAATCTTCTTTTCGCATGATTGTTGTATTTTGTTTTATCTTACTTGAGTTTACATGCTTTTCCTTTTGCTGTCTAAACAGTGACAGACAGTTACACCTCATAACAGCTCGCACATGACACACATGTATACTGCAAAGTTTAGTGTCTCCTCCTGAAATGTGTTCAGGCTGTTTATATGTAAAAACTTGTTGTTGATTCTGTTGGTCCTTATTTTTATTTATTCGTGGAGACAGCAGGCAGTGAATTTTATGCCCAAAAACATCTTTTGTAAAATATCGCAGTATCTTCTGCCTGTTGTCTCTCAGAAAGGATACTTAAATATTGCTATATATGTTCCTGACATCCTGTAGTTGTCATGATGTTAATTAACAGCACATTGGTTCTCTTGAACAGAACTGGAAGAGACTGCGGTGTAAAATGTCCAAGTATCCTGTCTTGCTTTATCTGATCTCTCCTACAGGTTTTAAAAAATATCAAATGGCATCAGTTCTCTTCTTCCCTCTCTGACTCTTCTTCCTGCTCTCTTTTACTTCATCTCTCAGTGTCAACTCTCCACGTGCCTCTCGGACAGCAGGCAGGTGTCATGGAAATGGAGGATGGGGTTGCCATGGGAACTAAGAGAGGGATGGGATTTTAGAGACAGAGGAAATGAGAAATGAGAAAGGGGGAGCAAGTGAGTGCATAGATAGGTCACGCAGCATGGGGAGCCTCCTACATTGTCTCGTTTAGGTGCCTATAGGGTTGTGAAAGGTCAAAGACGATAAACCACCACAATGTGTTATTCAAGAAGTCTGATTGAAAAGTTGCCTGTTGGTGTGAACAGAGGTGAAAGTAGGATAAATACTGATTAAATCTTGTTGCCTTCTTAATGTTATCATCAGGATATAATGAAAATCTGCAGATTTTAGGTTTGGGTTATATATTTAAATCTTAGATACTCCTGATTGAATCTTTACGTTTGAATCCGGTGTATAAAGAAGATTAATTTAACATAAAGGAAAAATTAAAAATGGGGAATGATGTTCAGTTTCCATTAGGTGTGTAGGAAACCATGCAAAAAGACAGAAAAGAGGCATTTTGCCTTCAACATTTTTTTTTATTTCTACTTAAATTTAGCTAATTTTAGAGATGCTTCTAACTAGGGGTGGGGAATGCCCAAATTCAGCATTTTCCAGACAAAACATAAGTTTGAAGTCAGATTGAAATAACATGAATTGTAAAGATGGAATCTATGGTTTCAAGAAATGTAATTTTATGGATAAGTAACTCGCAACAAGGCTCTCTACTGCTCACAGCTGCCATAGCTTAACTTGAAACTACATTGATTGATTTTAACGCAGAACTATTGAGTTCTTTTATTGCTCATGCATTTGTTTGACTTCATTGCAATCGCACTAGATTTGTTTATTCAGGTCCAGGCGTTGGTTTTTGGTTGATAATTTGGTCTGTCGTACTTTTCAAAAAGTGCAAGTGAAATTCCAGCTTCCAGGACTGCTTGTTTGTTTTCTCAAATTGTCAGTTTCCGGCTGCTAGTTTTATTCGTGCTTGTTGTGATCAGAGCCTGTTCCAATGATCCAGCAAAAGAGCTTCAAACTCAGCTGTGTTGTTTTGACCAGTTGAGAATGTAGCTGTAAATAAATGGAAAGAGGGGAGTTTTAATACTTCTGCTAGCATCAGTGGTGCATTGAGGCTTTTGCTCCCCCCTTTCTGACTGCCAACATATCTGTTTGGTGAAGCCTTTTTCTGTCAGCAAGCAAGGCCAGAGTTTGTGATTTACATGAGTGTCTGGGCAAATGTTTTTGTTCATAGTGAGACGTAATCTGGTATTGATGTCTCATGAAGGTATACGTATTTGCTTTCCTGATACAAACTGTTTCCTGGCGACAAGCTGCCATATGTAGTTAAAAATTTCCACTTTGCAGTCAGCTGCAGATGGTGTGTGCACATTGTCCCCGGAGCGAGAGGCAAAATGGCTCTATTCACTGATGTATTTTAATGTCACTGAGGTTTTGCTGTTTGATAGCAGGGTATAAGCAATGCTTTGTAGCCTTCAGGAGGAAAGAGTGGTATAAGATTTCAATCCTACACTTAGCTGCTGCTGCTGCTGCTGCTATCTTTACACAATGTTTCATGGGTTAAACGAACTCAGCAGTTTATTCTGTCCATGATTAAAGCCTGTGTTTGTTCACATGGAAGAAAGAAGAGCACAGAATTGACAACTGATGTCTAACCCTGCCTGTCTGTTTGCACAGTATAACTGGGAATGCATGCACACATATACACCCACACACAACAAATTTGCACTCAGAATCATCCTTAAGGGAGAAAACGTGTCTCCATCTGACATGCAGTACAGAGAAACCCAACAAATGCAGACCACAAACTGAGCAACTCTGCAGCCATTCATTCTTCCTAATTTTCTCTGATGGCCACACGTCTCCTGATTCATGCACACTCAGACAGATGCAAGCAGGAGCGCACGCATAGGCAGGATTTAGGGAGTCGCTGCACCCTTACACTGCTGTGAGCATTTAGTACGGTTATGTAATATAGAGTTTGGATTAATGAAGCATATGGGAGATGGGACTCTGACTCGGAAGATAGCTGACAGTCTATGTATATGTGGCGTTCAGGTTGTACCTCCTGTTTTAATAAGAGCAAAATGTTGGACCTTATTTTGCACGAATGCTGTTTAAGTTTATCTTGTGGTTGAAAAATGTTACGTATTTTGTTATCCTTTTTCTGTGAATCGTGTAACACATGTGCTGTGTGGTAAGTTGGATTTTGGATGAACTTAAGGTTTTAAGCTAAACAAAAGATACTCACCAGAAACTGTTCTGGTCTGTTATTGAAACCAGAAAACAAACGAGGCTTTTGTCAAATCTGAAAGTTTTCAGAAAATAATTTTTGTAAACAGTGATGCGTTGGTTATCAGTTTCAAGGTATACCCTGAGTTTACAAAACTCAGGGTATTTTCCATCATGACCAATCATCTTTCTTGCTTTGAAGAACTTACTCATGAAAAAACATTTTTCTCGAAACATTTTGGTGTTTTCTCCTTGGAAAGTTTGGCCAGAAGTTTGAGAAAACTTATCTAGATGGATTATTGATCTTATGCTGCTGATAAAGAGTATCACAGTAAACTGAGTTTGACAGCATTCTGAACAACTGAGGTTGCATGTTGGTCTACGTCACGTTTGTCTGGGACAAGGATGAAAAATAACTCGTACTGTTTGGCTCAGGCCCACTCTGCACACAGATCACAGAATCATCGCTTCCAAATAAATGGTGACAGAGGATCATTGACACAGTGAGGTGATCTGACAGATGGAGATGAATGATTTATACCCTGACTGTTAGCGAAAGCACTCCTACAACGTCAGCGCAGCCGGCTGTGGTGTGACAGATCTGTGGTCTTGAAGCCAGCATGGGAGGTTTCTGTCTTTCTCTGTCTTTCTGCTTGAGGAAATGGATGATAGCTGTGGCCTTTAAGTTCTCTTCAAGTTGAGGTCCATTCTGTCCCTCAGACGGAATTAATTTTACATCTTTGTAGACAATTGGTAAAATATAAGTTGATGTTTCGCAGCCAAAAGAAACAAAAGTCT